CTCGAGGCATTCGTATTTATGGAAGCTTACCCAAAACTGGTGTGGGGACGCGAGGTGGCTAGGTGTCTAGTATTTCCTCTACCTTTTCACAAAGAGCCCCTCCTCCATTGCCTGGGTTCTGGGAAGTAATTACTTCCTCATTTAGAAGTTTCCCCCTTTTCTCGGGTGACGGTCGTAGGCATTAATCCGTTTCAAAACTTCTTCCTTTTCTTCTTAGCATCTTCCACTAATATCCCTCCATGCAGTTGGCAGATCCTCTGCCTTCCTTGAAGTCTCCTCTGCGCCTGCTACTCTTCAGTGGGCGCGGGCAGCTCCTCCGCCTTCCCTGGTCTCTCATCTGCACCTGCCACCTCAGCCAAGACTAATTCCACTTCGTTAATTAAAATAATTATTATTCCAAGTTTATTACCTCATAAGTGTTGGTCCTAGAGTTGAACAAAAAGCAGATGACTTCCTCCCACGCTAGAGACGTTCTCCAAAGGAAAACCTTTATCTCCACAATGTTTTTCTTAACCGCTTCTCACCACCTCTGGTTTCGCGACTAGCATTATGGCGACGATCATTTTTCAAAATACCGCCATGTGTCCCCATCGAGAAAAATAATCAAGTCAAGGAATTATTATTCAAAACCTGTCGCCTCCACGGAAAATTTTCCAGATCGGCTTTGTATTTTTTTCTCGTTCAGCCACATGGCACCTCTTCTCTCGGTCCTCGGCAGAGACACTAAAAAAACACTTTTCTCTGAATTTGTTATTTTAAATCTTATCCGATTCTCTCCACCTCCGGTTCCACGGAGAGCGCTCATGGCTAAAGTTATTAATCAATTGTTGGTATATCGCCCGTCGTAAAAATTAAGTGCTGTTCTCAGCCGGTCGTTTGGTTCGTTTTAGAATTTTCGATTTTCTGAGAACGTGATAGTTTATCAGTATATCGTTCTTGCTATCCCCAACCCGTATTCATGGTAGTTTATCAGTCTCAAATAGTGTCACAAACATAACCAGAGCAAGCTCATTTTCTAGGTGCTTTAGACAAAATATTCAGATGTTTGGAACAAGCGTTCTCAAATATGAGATAAACTCTCGCAGGTTTAGAAAAAACGTTCTTAGTAAAGAAGATTCTCGCAGATTTTAAGGTTTCTTCCATTTTCTTCAACACTAATAGTAGTAGTCTAACACTTTCGCCTCAGCCCCTCAACCTCCGACGTCTTACTCTCTGGGTTGAGGTGTCTACTCGGTCCTAACCAAACTTAAGGGAGTGGCTGTAGGTCTCCTGAGCATCTGTAGATTATTCGACTGGTCCACTTGCTTAATCCTGCTTCCTACCCACGTTGTGTTTGGTTTGATCCAGAAAACAGAAATGATGTTCATCCATTCACGGTCGACTTAAGATGTAGACACAGCTGGAGAGTCTGCGCTAAGAAATTTAGAATGCAGCAAAAAAATTAATATCTGCAGAAAGCCGGACAAACAACTATTCAATGATTGAATTGTTAATGTCTTTTATATAGCAGAAAAGAATAGTATAGGAAAGAAAGGGGTTACAGAAAAGAAAAGTAATTGACGTAAAAACGCATACACTGGATTCGAGAGAGAGAGAGAGAGAGAGAGAGAGAGAGAGAGAGAGAGAGTGTTAACTTGTTAAATCGTCTCAGAACGATATACGACTCTTGCGATGGGGGAATAAGATTTCTGTGCGTGGCTTAAAGTTTATAGTGGCGTTCCTCCTTAGCAGTAGTAGTACTATTTGTGGTAGCAGAGATACTTATATCAACAGTACATGTTAGCGGACGCTTCGTTCCAATCTCTGATGTCACTTTCTCTCCTTCTTGAGTCTACAACTCGACTCTCCACTGTCTCTAGTCCAACTCTTGCCCGGGCTAATTCTCTTCTGTCTGTCTGTCTGTCTTGTCTCTCTCTTTCGTCTGTCTCTTCTTCAGCATAACTACACGTTTATATAGAAAAATTCGGCTGGTTACAACTGAACCTTGGCCCTACTACTTCGCACGTGATTATCACGGGGTTTTGGCTGTTTCAACCAAAATCATGTGAATTCAAAAGATCCTCTTTGCTTACTCAGCTCTATTCCAAGTTTTAATCAATAAAAATTATTTCGACCAATTCCATTGTTCCAATGGGTACAGCTCCTGCCCTAGATCAGGTTTCACCATCAGTAAACAAAAATGCTCTGATCTAATCTCGCTGTTCAAATCCACTCCAATTTCACTAAAAAAAAAAAAAAAAAAAAAAAAATACGTGTGTGTGTGTGTGTTTCCCAGACTCTCTGTCACAGTAGCAAAATTAGTCTTTTAGCATCACAGGTTAAAATTTTTCTCGCTTTTGCAATAGCATTTTTTTTTATCATGCTGAGTGTGGTCTATTCCTTTCTGACTATAAGAGGGAAAATCTTGACTGCAAACAAGTGACTACAAAAGGATCAAAATCCAAGATGTTAGAAAGCCTTAACGTTTTATCCCCATTGTTTAAAAACTCGAGGCTCACTATCGAATCATACGGCACTCAATTGCGATTTAAATTTGTCTGGTTTGACAAAAATCAAAGCTGAAACTATGTTTTGTAAATATTTTCCACGGATAATTTAAACTATCAAGTATCATTTTGGCGAATTTTTTAACATCAATCTTTATTCTTTACACATCAGTTTTTAGTACTCATGTTTTCTTTTTGATAATGTGGTTTGTTTCTAACCATAGTTAGTAACATTCTAATTTTCTCATTTAGTTTTTAAATATAATTCAGTATTATGTTTTATTAAAAATATTTTATATTCATATTTATTTACACATTCCAAGATTTTCTGATACAATTTTGAAATCCTTTTTCTTAAAATAATTTCTATATTAATTTTTACACATTCCCGACATTTTAATTTTTTTCACTTACAATAACTTTAAAAATAATTTTTATATTACTCAAAAGTCAAAAAATTAGTAATCCATGGTTATGTCGTTTTTTAAACCATGAATCGGCAAATTTATAATTTGTAATAATAGCAAAAATATATGAATAAGGGTGTAATTGTAAACTAATAAAAGAATTTGGAATGAAAAAAATTAAATATGATTTAAGAAACATTTGATAATAATGAAAGAAAACAACCACAAAAGAGAGAGACAGACAGAAAGAAAGAAAGAGTGTGTGAAAGTCATTTTATTTAAAAGAAAATGAAATAAAAAGAAAATGAAATAAAAAGAAAAACATTGTTTAGTAACTAAAGCATTGAACTAAACTTTAGTTCAATGCTAAGATCACTTTGCGTAAAAAAGAGAGAAAGTGAATGTCATTTACTTTCTTTACACCAGATGTTTTTGTCAAGTAGTGATTCCCTCCCAACCGTTAATATTGAATTTTAACTTTTGTTTGTTAGGCTTACATTTTTTTTTTAGTAATAGGGCATGCACATGAATTTTTAGCGGACTTTTTCAGGGTTTTTTTTTTTAATGGGTTTATGAAACCGAACCGGAACCCACTGGTACATAGCGTTTCTTCTTTCAATTTATACCGAGTTATTGATTGATCTTAGTGTTGTTGGTCTTCGCCGGGCGGAAACTCTTTTCTTCAGGAACGAATAGATTTTCAAAGTGTTTCAATGTGATTTGAAGTTGTTTACTTTTTCGATTATCGTAAATTTTAGAATGAAACTGGCTACTGAGATATTTCATAACACAAAATCGTCTGAACCCAAACATCAATTTTCGGTACTCTTAGGTACCAAACAGTTTTTTTTAGTTAGACAATTCTCATTTTCCCAACAATTTTACATCTGAGAATCAAAGACTTTTCATTTCACTCAGTCATCTGTCTCAACTACAGATAAACAAACTCTAAACAATGCGAATAAGTACCTTTTTTTCTCTTTCAGGAATTCATTTCACAGGTGAGTTTTCTTTTAACATGAATATTTAATTTTGCACGACCCTCATCATTTCTGCAACGGAGTCAGAAATTATTCTTTCCTCTAAAAATGCGAAAGCAGCTAATAAACCAAACAATCAATCTATAACAATTTGCAGTTTGACATGCGAGCATTATAAACTTTTTTTTTTTTTTTGAGTTATTTTGTCTGAGATTCTTATTTTCAGGATCAGTGAGCCAATTCTGCCTTCTCCAGGTTCTTCGCTTAGATCAAGCGTTACGTTTTAGACTTTTAGTTTTACAACATGATCATGAAATTTTTGCTACCACAACACACCACCTGCTACTGCTACTAATTTTCAGCCGTGACCACTTCTCTTGCGATTGTTGTTAATAAACTGAAGGTCTGCTACAGTAGGCAATTTTGTCATCCACTATATACTCATGTAGTAGAAGTATCTGATGTCAAAAATAAAGGAAAACAGCTTTTTGGAGAATTTCAAAATCTATTTTTCTTGTAATTCTCCAAAAAACAGTATTCATCACTATTTTGCTTCCTAGCACCTGAGTTACACGCGTATATGAACAACGACTGATTTTTCATGCTTTTCATTCGACACACAGTAAAGAAGAAAAGTGAAGTAAGTAGCAATTTACAATTACAAATACTGTACATGTTTATTGTTTATCTTCTTTACTCAATTACGGAAGCAGCTTGAATACTTCAATATTTTTCTTCTTTGTTTCGGTCTCTTGTATTTTATTCCTCCCGATCGAAAACAAGCATGCCCCCCCACACACACCTCTCTCTCTAGTCTCTATCCTTCATATTTGTTTGTGTTTTTTTTTACAGGCGGAAGAAGGAATTGGAATTATTACTTCTTAGAAAACGATGACAAAAATCCACAATCAAACACTAAACTAAACAGAATCATCACAGCAGCATTTAAGGAAGAGAAAATTAAAAAGCGATGCTAGTGTATTGATTGAATACCGTTTTTGTCGCAATTCAAGATATTGTTTCTTTTTTATGGGATTTTTAAAGCAAATATTAAATCTTCAGCAGATGTATATATTTTGAAGAAAAAAAACTGTTTACTACAGACCAAGCTGCTGTTAAACCTCGTGATGAATAAATGTCACAAATGCGGAAAGCCGGTCTATTTTGGTAAGTGATTTTTGTTTGTTTTATGCGTACTTTTTTTTAATTAATTATCAATCAGTAACACCTTTTCTTAAAATAATGTCAATTTTTAGTTAATTAGCATTTATTTTATTTTAAAATTGCCCAAATTGATGCTTGAGTTGAGTTTGATCATTCTTTAAAATTTTCTTAAACGCAAATTAATTTCACTTGTATTTACTTAATTTAAATTTTATTTGTGAATTTTTTATCCACACACTCAGAATACATGTGTATTTTTATCGGTTCGTTATGGTTACTACTAAAAACCGAGTAAATTTCAAATCAGTCACATCAAGAAAGTTGCAGAGAAAATATTCAATCAAACAAAACCTCCAATATCCAGGATCGTAAGGCCAACTACTGCTGTAGTGTATACACAACATTCAAATCCTTGTTGTTGTAACAACAAGGATTTGAACGTTTATATAGTCCCTTTCTTCAATCTTCCCGACCATTTTTACAAACAATCAAAATATTGACTGACTGAAGGTAATTGAATTTCTTACTTAATGCCACTGGCACCAATGACCGGTGTACGAGTTCAAATAAAAGCTACGATTTCATATACTGGTGATCTTACTTAAAATTAGATAGCAGGCAGGATTTCTTCACTTGGAAGGCTGGCTCTGCTCAACAAATGCACAAACCCAAAAATTATCTCCTAGTAATTGGTCTTGAGCCAAATCTAGTCTTAAAAAAGGTGATGGAAGAAAAACTACCTCTCTCTTGTGATGTGATGTGAAAAATTTCGGAAAAACTTATCTACTAACTAGAGAAAAGATGAATACTAGAGGAAAACTTAATTCAATCAGCGTATAATTTTTTCGTTATTAAATGTGTGTGTGTGGGGGGGCGCAACATTGGGAAAAGATAAATACTATAAAATAAAAACTAAAAAAAGTTTCATTATCATTTATAAATTTTATATTTATGTCTCACCCTTAAATCAGTGGACTATCTTAAAAAAAAAAATTACTCCCCTAGGGACTAGGCTAAAAAAAACTATTGCAAGCAAGGACTCTTGTATGCTTTTTTTTTTTTTATTATCACTCACAGCAATATTTTGTTTTTCTTTTTAGAGTAAATATTGCTTACAATCTCGCTGATCCTAAAACATTTAGGAATATTCAAATTAAATTACTTGGGCAGAAAATAGTCTTCTTTGATTCTATAACTTTCATTTGTGTATATTTTTTATGCTCTTCGATTTCGAACTTAAACCAAGAATTTATTTTTATGCGACAAACTCACAAACAACTTCTTAACCTTAAACATTGACTTTAAATTAAAATTACTTACCCCTTAGTCGCTAAAACAGTGAACAATATTCAAATTTCAATGTTTTACTTTTTGTTTATGGACGATTAAAAATTTTAATCGTCCATAAAGAAAAACTTGTTTTAGTTTTGTTTTGTTTTTTGGCATAAAAACATCGCCCCCACATTTTTCTTTGCATAAAAATAAACATTTCATTGAGTTTTTTTACTTTATGAATTTTTGAATTGATTCATGTTTAGAATAAAAATTTACCTTTCGCCAGATGTAGAAAAGTTCGAGAGAACATAAAAAAACACATTTTAAATTGGGTTTTTATTTGTCACATGAATGAATTAAATTTTCCTCGAACTGAATTCGAAATATCTTTTTTGTCTGAAATAAATATTGTATTCTGTATTCATGATTTTGTTTGCCATATGTAAAAAAAGTAAAAAAAAAACAAACCTTTTTTTGAAAATCCTGATCTTTCTGTTCCGTATCTTTCAATGGCAATTTAACTAAAGCTTTTAAAATTGAAAGCGAGTTCATTTCCTTTGCTACAACAACAGTTTTTTTTTGTTTCTTTAGGTGCCTTAAAGTCCGAAGTTAAATCATACATTTTTTTTTTTTGCGTGCACTGAGGATTTGTTTTAGTTTTAAAATAGATACTTTTTTTTCCAAGTACGGCCTTGTTTGGGGTGAAATCGATTAAGAAAAAAAAGTTATGCGAAAATGAACAAGGTTTGTTTCCTTACTCCTGAGTCCATTACTTTGTATTATTGCAAGTTTAAGTAAAAAAAAAAAACAAAAAAAAAAAAACACCTTATTCATTTAGTTTTTAGTAGTTTTTAAACAGTTTATTTGTCAGCTGCTGTTACCCCTTCTATAGTTCAAAAAGGTTGTACACGGTTCGGATTATGGTCACTCACTGATGTTTGGCCGGTTAAACTGATTATTGGAAATAAAGGTAATAATATTTACTGCACTAGAACAAAAAGCTTATATAAGGTTCTACCATTAAAAAAATACTCTGTCTGTAAAGGTTGTTAGCAGTTGTCAAATTTCCTCTATAATAAAAATAAAAATGAAAACGAAAACATTCAGTCTATTGTCCAACTAGGAATTGAACCATTCAGATCCAGATATTAAAAAACGTTGCATTTGTCTCGTGGATTTTTACAAAAAAAAACAAAAAAAAACCGCATATAGACAAACTAAGTTTAGTTCATAAAGAAAGATCTTTCTTTCCTATATTTTCCTTGCCTCTTGGAAACGTACAAGAACTGACTTTTTCTCAAATAAGCAACTAAAAAAATAACACTATTTTTTATTGATTTATCTTTGTCATTACATTGCTCATCTGGACAGAAAAGTGTTAGTAAAGAATAAAGATTTGTTGAGTTTAGAAAAAAAACAAAAAAACAACAACAACAGTGTTGAGCTGTTTTGGTATGCTGATTCTAAGAAAAATAGAAGATTATAATGACGAAATGAATAAATTATTTGTGATTCGCCCGCTCAGTATTTATATTGTCTAGTCATTGTTGAAAAAAAGGTTAATTTTGTTTGCTTTTGCAAATGAAGAAAATCTAAGTGATGTGAGTGAGATATTTTTAAGTCGGGTAAAATAAAAATGTGTTGTCATTCAATATACGTACCAAAATTATCTGAAAGAAGTATTTTTGAATTTCTTTTTTTGACACTTACTTCGATATATCATTGCAAGAAACTAAAAAGAAAACCTTGCTTTGTTGACTGATAGAATGTTCGTTATTTTTTTCAATGAAGTTCGTTCAGTTGATTAAGGTTTTAAAAATTAAACCTCTCCCACTTTTTTAATAAGGATACTTCAATATAAATAAAATAAGTATTCCTTTCTAAACGATAAGTTTAAGAAAAAAGCAATTTTGTTTTAAATGTAATTAAAAGGAAAAAAGAGTAATTAATTCACTGGTTAACATAGGCCCCTCGCTAAGAAGCCCATCCCACCCAAAAAAATCATTTGCTTTCCCTGTGAAAATTAAATTTTATTTTATATTGCAAATTCTTACTGGCATCTCCCGATTCCTCCCACCCCGGGCAATAACACACTGGCGACGGACCTGGATTATCCTTATGACTCTAGTAGTTTTTATTTTCTTCACTTTAATGCACTTTTGGAAGCTTTAATGCCAAAAGAAAACTTAAAAAAAAAAAAAATGAATTCATTTCAATTTCCCTGTTATTTTTTTTTTTTTTTTTTTAGGTCTATTTGAATTTTGATTTTTGAATTATGTCTTTTTTTGTAGATTTGTTTAACGTTTGATTATTTTTTTACTTGTGTCATAATGTTACTTGATCTCTAACTAAAAAATACAGTCTCTCTCTGTTGAGACAGACCAGTTGCCAAAAGAATGGATTTTTAGTAAACTTAAGAGAAATTCTGCGAAAATTAAAAAGATAGTGTTCTACTGGTGATTGAAGAAAATCATAAAGTACTGTTGCTGTTTTAGGATGAAGAAAAAACTAAGTCATAACTTTGCTTGAGTTGTCGGTATAAAATAAATATAAAAGTTATAGAGGAAATTATTTTCATTTTAAAAATAAATTAGCATTATTTAAGAATAAGATCTATTTAAAAAAAAATTATTTCAAAAGTAGACTATATTTTCCAATCAGTGTACTGTAGAAAAATGGTATATAGCGGCGTTGGTAATTTTACACTAACAGTGTATAAATTCCAACAATTGTGATCAAATTTAAAATTGCAATTTATTTCAATTTTTATACCAGTTTATATAAAAATGTAAGTTGATTGTGTCTACATATGTGTGTGTGTGTGTGTGTGTACAGTCTTATTTGAAATTTGAGAAAGTTCGTATAGTAAATTTTATTACCCACTATTATTGACTTATTTGAATAAAACATCTTCAAGCAATCTACTATAGGTCAATTTATTTTGTAAATTTATTTCTTTCCCTTCTGGTTTATATGAAGAAATAAACACAATTTTATTTATTAACATGCAGTATTTTTAAGCATTTTCTAAACAGACTTTTTTTTTAAATTAAAAAAAAAGTCAGTTTAGTCAGCCTTGTGGTTGAGGTCAGTGCATATATATCACAGGCTTAGGTGATCAGTGTTTTAAATTCAAGTAAAAATTCAGAATTTTCAACCTATTTGAAAGATTGTCACAACACAATCTTCTTAATTTAATTTCCCAACATTTGACCTTAAGCTAAGCTTAGTTAAAAAAAAAACAATTTGTTTCACATTCATTAACCACACCTCTTTGTTAATCAAATATTGATTATATCTGAACCTGCTTTTGTAGTTACTTTATAATTTGTTTTAAAATTATTTGACTAGACCATGTTTGTATATCCCACATACAGTTAAAATGCTTACATAATCTGTAATTAGATAATTCTAATCTTATTTATTCATGTATCATTTTTTCAAGAATAAACACATTTGTGCAATTCTGTTTGATCCTTCAATTTTTTTAAAAATTTGTGTAGTTAGAGATTTTATCTAATCACTTTTATTTATATATTTTTTTATGTAAATCCATGTTCAACAAAAATTTATTGATTATTTGAAAATCTCTTCCTAGTTAATTTTATTGAGGTTTGAGAAAGAGGCTTATTTTATATATTGCACCAGTTCTCCTGGCCTCTGTAATACCAGACTTTTCCATTAAAAGATGTACTGTTTAGGAAAATGTGGCAGATATCTGACAAGTA